GCCGGCCATGCCAGCGGAGCGAGGGGCACCGAGTTCTCGCGTCCATGCGCCTTCCTCTCCCCCGGGGCCGTCTGCTGCCGAGTGCATTGCTGGCGGCTCTGATGTTCCTGCAGGCCCCTCTGACTGTGGCTAGCCAGGGCTTGATGTGGGGTGTGCGAAGCGGCGTGTCGGAGGGAACTGCTGAAATGTCACACGTGCAAGACACCTGGGGCATCGGCATCCAGCCACTCCCCCCCCTCCCCAACACTATGCCTCAGAGGGCATCAAAATACACGCTCCAATGAGCTCTACCGGGCTGCCCTCTCGAGGCGGCTCACCCACATGGCACAGGGACGCCAGGGCACCAGGGCTGCCGTGCACAGCTGGGAGAGGCATGGAGCAGTGGGAGTCCTTACCCCGGCCCCAGGTGCTTTACCATTGCCCTGTGAAATAGGGAGCCACACTGTAGGGCCTGGTCTACACTAGACCAGGCAGGCTGGCATAAGGTTCGCCATCCAACTATGCAAAATATGTAGCTGGATTCGGCTTATCTTAAGCTGAGCTGCCACAGCATGTACATTGTGGGAGGCCGACGGAGCACACAGCCCCGCCAGCTTCCTGTGCCCCTTACAGAACGAGGAGGACACGACGCCGGTGGGGGCTGCCCTCAGTGTTCCATTTGGGGGTCTACACTAGATCCGCTAAATCCAACGCTAGAAGATCGACCTCCGGAGGGTCGCTCATCTCCGTAGCCTACACAAGGACTGGGCTCAGTGCAGCAGGCTTTCTTCCTCTGCCACCCCTTGTCCATCGCTCTGTGGTGATTAGTGTCCTGGGATGCGGCCCGGCGGGGCACCTAGAGCCCCACCCGTTCTGGGGTAACAGAGAGCCCAACAAAACCATCACCAGGAGCCCCCTGCCAGGTCTCCCACTTGCCAGTGGTCACACCCCTTATGTCAGGGGCTTTCATTCCACCTGCCCCACCGCCCTGGGAGAACTCAGGCCCTGCTTGGACTCTGGGTGCCGGCCTGGGTCCCTGGAGCAAGCAGCTCAGCTCCGCTCCCTCAAGCCAGCTGCTTCTTCCCTGGGCTTCTTCCTAGCTGAGCCAATCTCCAGGCCTCTCTCAGCCCGGCTCTGCTGCACTCTCTTCCCAGGCTCTGCAGTGTTCTCACTTGCTCCTGCAGTGAGTACCATCACACAGGGCTTCCTCCCTGGCAGCCAGCCTCCTGTCGGCCTCTCCCCAGGCTCAGTGTGTCAAAGACTCGCTTTCCTCCACTCGACAGAATTCCCCCAGCTTCCCTCCAGGTGCAGCCAGATTGGCTACCTGAGTGCCCATGAACCCGATCGTTGCCAGCACGGGGTGCACACGCCACCACATCCACATCTCAGCCCAAAGCCCAGGCAGGGAAGTCACAGGAATCTACCCACTGAGCTCAGTGGCCTTTGGCTCTGAATACTTCAAGGATGTCACTGCAATAGCAGCCCTCCTGACTGGCACGCCGGCCAGGAACTGAACCAGGGAACCTTTAGCGCTTGCAGCAGGTGCTAAAAACCAAAGGTGCCCGAGCTGGGCTGTCACAGACTGAGAACTGCTGCCGTCCGGGCACAAGAGGTGGGTGGGGGAGAATCTGAAACTCACACTCCCCCGTGGTTCCATCATGTTCAGCTGAAGCGTGACGGGGTAGGTCCCCAGAGGGGTGACCTAGTCTGCCTTGTAAACCTACGTCAAGCCCACTGAGGTCAGTTGCTAAATGCCAGTGGTGCAGGATCAGACCGTAGGAACCTACAGGCCGAGCACTCGAAAGGGGACGTGATACCCGCCTACCAACTCATGACTCGTCTAGACAGGGTCGGTCTGGTGCTTTTGCTCTCCTTGCCTCCTAGCATAAGAACAAGGAGGCACTAGATGAAGGGGGCAGATCCAAAGCCAGTGAAAGGACATACTTTCCCATACAACGTGCAGCGAGCATGCATGTTGCTGAGGTTCAGAATCTAACAAGCGTCCAGACGGGACTGGATGTTTATGTGGCACTCAAGCACTTCCGGGGCTATTGTAATTAGTGATAGCAAAGCCATTGGCAGGGGCATGTTTCATGTTCCAAGGTATAAATCGATCTGTAGTAAGACCAGCGGAAGCCCTGTTTGGGAGCAAATTGACCCTCATGCAGGGTTCTTTCACCTTCCCCAGAAGCTCTGGGGCTGGTGCTCTTCAACAGGACAATGGATTTGATGGACATTGGCTCTGATCCAGCTAGGTAACTCCTCCCCTCCTAGCTTGGCAATCTGCAGGAGTGTTTGCTGTTTGCCTTCCTCTCTTTATCTAGCATCACGTTGTGGGCAGAGCTGCTCCATGGGCACCACGTCCTGGGTTTGGGGCTGAGATCCTGGACAGAATCTAGCATGTTGTTTGTGGCCACCTCTGTCCAGGGACTGGGATAGGCATTCTGTACCAGTCACCTTCACTCTGCCCCATTGTAGCACCTCCAATAAGCAGCAGGGGATGACAATGTCTTTTTCACACTATTGGCCCAAATACCTGCCCTTCTTGAACCAAACTGGAGAAGACGTCATGCCATGCTCCGTAAGATGCAGCATCCGGAGGAGAAATCACAAACTGTAATAGAAACTTTGGGGAGGAGAGAGGGACATTTTTCACAGCAGCTGTTGCTGAAATATCAGCGCCAGAGATAACAGCTCCCAGGAAGAGCTGTCTGCCAGATGTCAATCCACATGACTGTGTTGCCATACAAACCAACCGGGAGTAATGTGGAGAGTGAGCTTTCCTGAGGCACGCTGTCAGCCGGGGACGGACAACGTTGCTGGCGTTTTGCCGGTGACAGGGGGCTGTGGCAGCACTATTTACCCATGGGGGGCAGAGGGACTCAGGCAGGATGGGAGAGCTGACAGTTGGAACAACTTCAAAAAAAAAAAAAAACGACAAGGGCCCGATTCTCAATTGATGCCCATCAACAAGCGCTGACTTCTGGGGGCCCGTGCTGATGTGCAGCCACAAAGGGCCTGCTTTCAGGCTTCTTGCTTCTGGGCATAAGTTAATGGGGGCTGGGAAGGCAGTGGCCCTACAACCGCCAGCAGTGGAGGTCCTGGCCTTTTTGAAGCAGCTGGCACTGGCCGGAGATAGCACAGAGGGCTCTCTGCCCTGATCCAAAATGGCGGAGGGAGTCTCCTGTGTGTTGGCACAGCGGGGGGCACTGGGCCGTGGGGTGGGAAAGGAAGGAGGGAGGAGAGGCCCTTTCTGATGTGAAAATTAAGGGCTTTGGAGAGCCACTTGATTTGCAAATGCCATAGGGCAGGGGTGGGCAATAATTTTTGATGGGGGCAGGGCCACGCCAAAATTTAGGTAAGTGGTCAAGGGCTGCACTTTTCTATGGAGGGGTGCAGGTTCTGGGATGGAGGTTGGGTACAGAAGGGAGCTCTGGGCAGGGGTGCAGGACAGGGAGCGGGGTCTGAGAGGGAGTTTGGGTGGAGGGGGTTCGCAGAGCACGAAGCTTCCCCATCCCTCCAGCACAATGAGGCAGATGGATCAGCCAGCTGCTCTGAGCCCTGGGGCTGCTCCCCGCCTGTGGGTCCTGTGGGGGTGGGCCACACTGAAACATCTGATGGGCCGGATCTGGCTCCTGGACAGGATCTTGCCCACACCTGCCATAGGGGCAGAAGGCTGGAAAGGGCCTTTGTGAGAGCTGCATGGCCATGCTCACAGCCGCGAGGGACTGAGCAGCACGCGGGGCAGAAATCCCATTAGAAAAGGCTCATCCGCAGTTCCAGAACTGCCTCGGTGCGATGGGAACAGACCGTGTCCCACACTCCGAGAGGGGCTGTCCCGCAGGCACACGCCTCTGCAGCACCGTTTCTGCTCCTTCTCCGAGGCTGTGGCCAGTGAGCGGGTGGGGCTGGAGCCATTTGCGGCCTGCCTCTCTAGCTCCGCGGTGGGAAGTGGCTAAGCGCAGCCCGTGTACCTGGGCTGGGAGGGGGAGAGGCCCAAACTCCTTGGCATGGGCGCACAGTGCCGCTCAGATCAGCAATGAGCCAGATCCGGCCTCACACGGGGGCAAGTGGCGCACACACGGAGTCACACACCGCTTACCAGTGGTAAGCTTGGAGTCATCGGACCTCCTCCATGGTCCCTCCTCAGACGAGGGCCTGGGGTTAGACTGCAGAATAGGTATGGGATTGCCCCAAATATTTCCTCCCCGCCCCACAAAGCCGATGGGCATTGTCAGGATGGCTTCTCCTTCTGTTTCCAAATCTCAGTGCTGCATCGGAGTGGGACTATGAGGCAGTAGGACGCTTGAGGGGAGGAAACCCTGGGGGCTGAAGGGGTTTCTACTTCCCATAAAATGGCGGAACAAAACCCAGCGTCTGGAAGCTGGAACCAGACAAAGGCTAGGGTTTGCCAGATGGTTTCAACAGAAATACCGGATACCCTTGCCATGACATCACCATCTACATCCCATCTTATTTAGAAAATACCGGACATTGATATTTTCTCATTTCTATTTTCTCAATTTGTTTCCTGAACAGAAAGCTCAAATACTGGACTGTCCAGTTCAAAACTGGACATCTGGCAGCCCTCACACTATTGGGTTTTATCGGAAAAAGCTACGCAAATTGAGCTCTGTAATTTGCGTAGCTTTTTCAAATTGTTCTTCTGGAAGAGGCTTTTCCGCCATTTGGCCCTGTCTAGATGGTGCCAAATGGTGGAAAAGCCTCCTCTTTTGAAGGAGCCCTTATTCCTCGTGAAACGAGGAATACAGGGTTCCCTGAAAGAGTGCGTTTGCTCTTCTGCAAAAAAAATTGGAAGAGCAAACGTGTTCCTGGACACAGTGGGGTTTTCTGGGATCCCGGAAAACTCCCGCAGTGTAGACATAGCCAAAGTGAGATGCTGGAAGGCGCTTTGGTCACGATGAAAGTTTTTTGGCCTCTGTGCTGCAGTGGGTCAGACCAGGCCCCTCTTAGCTTGAAAACTCTTATGAATTAATTGGCTTGTCTTCTATTCTCTGGCTCCTCCCCCTGGGTGTGGCTTGGTGGGGTTATGGGCTAAATGCCTCTCATTGGGAGCTCGGTCCTTGTACCCGTTTGTGTTTGGTGAGAACGTCTCTTGGGCAAGAGCTACTAGAATGAGCGATTGTTTCCTGTTTGCCTGAATTTCCTTTGCTATCGAACGCTGGTGGGTTTTTTGTAAAAGGAGTTTAATGTGATTCATGGTTGTGATGGGAGGCCCTGTCCCTGGACAGTAGCCCCTCTGCTTCCACTCCTCCTGGCTTTAAGAAGGCCAGATACTGTGGGAGGGGGCAGCAGTGCTGCCTAGTGGATAGAGCACTGGACTGGGACTCATGGGAGAGAGGTGGGGTCAAGACCCAGCTGTTCAAGACTGTGCTGCAGGGTGACCTTGGATGAGTCACTTTACCCTAGCGTGCCTCAGTTTCTCTATCTGGGGCTAATGACAGTGAGGGCCTTTGCAAAGCACTGTGGAGAGCCACTGATAAGAAGTGTGAGGTGTGATGGCTGCCCAGAGAGAACCCTCCTGTGTGAAGTCCGGAGAAAGGGAAAGTTTGAGGAGGGCTTGGAAAAGCGTGAAGAGGCGTGTCCCTCGGAGGGCGGGGCAGCAATCCCCTGGGAATGGGGAACCCAAGGGATGGAAGTTTCATTTCTGGGCAGTGAGGTGTCATATGATATCTCTGTTCAGCCGTGAAATGGGGAAGTAGGAGCTGGCCTGAGAGCGCAGAGAAAACACGCCCAGGAAGGGTGAGATAGAGTCTGCCAGGGCAGAGAGAAAGCCAGACAGCGGGTGGGAAGGGAAGGCCTAGCCCCCCCGACAGACGGAGCAGGGCAGGCAGACAGACGGAGCACAGGCGGAGAAGGCCGGGGGAGCAGGAGAGACCCGTGCGGAGCCCAGGCAGGGTGGTGCATGGCCCGCAATGCTGCCCAAGAGGAGCGCCAGCCCCTGCTGCGGCAGGAGGGGGCCCCAGCTGGGGGTTTATGGGCCGCCTTCGAGGGCCGGAAGGCAGCCTGCGCGGCCGTGCTGCTGGTGGAGATCCTCCAACCTCGTCCTTTACCTCAACAGCAGCAACTTCAACTGGGGGGGGTCGCAGGCTTCGCGGGCCACCCTCCTCTTCTTGGGCGCCTCCTACCTGCTCTCGCCCGTGGGGGGCTGGCTGGCCGACGTCTACCTGGGCCGCTACTGGACCATCGTGCTGAGCTTCCTGCTCTACGTGGCGTCGGCCTGCCTGCTGCCCGCCACGGCCTCCTCGGACGGGCGGCTTTTCTTCTGCGGGGAGATGCCAACCTACGACTTGCAGAAGTCCTGCCAGAACCAGAGCGGTCAGTGCCAGCAGTCTGCGCCCGGCCAGTACTGCGCCCCCCTGATGTACACCGGCCTGCTGCTGCTGGCCCTGGGCATCAGCTCCGTCAAAGCCAACCTCACCCCTTTCGGCGCTGATCAGGTAACAGGCATGCCCTCCCCTGCACGCCGCCGGGGTCAGCGAGCCGGAGAGCAGTACGTCCAGCAAGCGCCCAAAGAGATCCCCCTCGCCCTGGCTAGCCCCCAAAGGGTTAACATTGCACACGCATGCATGAGCGTGCACGCACAGGCAATGCATTCAATTGCACGTGCACAGCCTCTGCATGCAACCGGGCACCCACAGCCAAGCTTGCCCATTGTATCCCCGCGCACGCCCATGTAACGACATCGGGCCCACCCCTGCTTGCACAAACGCAGCCACACAAGCAAGTGCAAACACTGACACTCTCCTGGGCAAGCACACGGGTGCGTGCACGCCCATGCATGCAGAAGTGCACACGTGGAAACAGGCACATGCCACCCCACCTGTGTGCACACACGCTAACACTTGCCGCTCTCTACCTCCTCCCCCAGAGGAGGATGGGGATAAAGTCCCCTCTCTACCACCCTCGACTCCAGGAACAAGCCAGAACTCCCAGGCCTGGCTGGGGGCAGGTAGGACCTCCCTTGGGTTGATCTTGCCTCCCCAAGCACAAGGGAATAATCCTCTGTCTCCCCACCCCCGCAGTGTGGAAGGTGAGGGGTCTAACTGGGGGAAGAGGATTTTTTTTCCGGTCCCGAGGAAATGGAGATGGGGGAGGACTGAAGGGCAGAGGGAGCAGGGAGGGGAGGACAGGAAGGAGGGAGGCTGCGTCTAGGTTAAGGATGGGGGAGGAGGGGAGATGAGTTTCCCTCCTCTTTATGTTTGTGGCTCAGGGTGGCCTGGCACTTCCTGTGGGGGGCAGCCCCTGAGGTGGGCCTGGGGGGTGAGTGCTCCCCTGCCAGGCCGAGGGTCTGCTTGACTCCCCAAAGAGCAGGAGAGATGGGAGGCCACCCCTGCCAGGGATGTCGACTTTCCTTCCTCACAACCCATAAAGGGTTAATTCCCCCCTTTTCCCATGTCCTTTGGGCCCTCTCCCCCTCTTCCCACGGGAGGGGGGCAGGGGATGAGTCCCAACCGGCACTAGCGGGGGAGGGCCCGGCTTATGCTTCGCTGCCTTGCGTCCCGGCAGGTGACTGACCGTGGCCGCGACGCCACACGGCGCTTTTTCAACTGGTTCTACTGGAGCATTAACATCGGGGCGGTGATCGCGCTGCTCGTGGTGGCCTTCATCCAGCAGAACATCGACTTCCTCATCGGTTACACCATCCCCACCGCCTGCGTGATCCTGGCCCTCCTCGTCTTCCTCGTGGCTGCCCCCACCTTCATCCCCCAGCCCCCCACGGGCAGCCAGGTCTCCACCATGCTCAGGCTGGCCTTCCGGGGCAGGTGCCACGGCCGAGCGCGACGCACCAGGTAGGGTGGAGACCAGCCGCCCCCAGCCCCTCTCGGCCATGCTGCGCTTGCCTCCTCATGCCATCTGTGCTCTCCCCCTTCGCGGCAGGCTGGGCCCTCTCCAGTCGGAAACCCAGGACCCGGATGTCCTCCCCGATGGCAAATCGCAGCCCTGGGCCCCTTCGCCGGAGGAGGATCTTGCCAACTTCCAGGTGATGGCCAAGATCCTGCCGGTGCTACTGACCTTCATTCCCTACTGGATGGTCTACTTCCAGGTAGGGAGCCGGCAGAGCAGCTACACTGGGGGTGTTGATGCACAGAGGGGGCTGGCAATGGGGTCGGTATTGGCTGTCTTCACGGAGCTTGGAGTTGGGGGTGAGCACCGTCAACGCTTGTGAGACTCTCTGACCCAAGGGTGGTGGGGGCTGCAAACAGGAGCGCTGCCTCCAGGGTACCCCGTCCTGGCCAGAGCCGGCTCAGCCTCGCTGTGCCAAAAATAATCCACAAAAGCTTCTTCGGAACGTTGCCCCTCCTTGCTTGAGGCTGGCTTCATCCCATGAACAACGCAGAACAGTCCCTCGAGTGTGTCCCACAGCTCCTCAGCCCCGGCAGCTGCTCCCAGTCCTGTTGGTCTGAGTCTGCTCTTCAGCAAACAACTGTCCTCTCCCCTCCCCCAGCCTAAGGTTATCCTTCCCCCCGTAAGAAGTGCCTGGGCTCTCCCTGAGTTGTCCTGTCTCTGGCTCCGAGAAGCCAGCAGCTCATCTCCCTATCTGTAGAGCCCTGCAAATCCACAGATGTGAATGCAGATATCCACGGTTCAGTTTTGCAGATACAGATGTGGATGTGGCTGCAGATACAAAGTTGTACTGATCTACTACTCTCTTGTCCAGCCCCTGTTAGCATAAGAACGGCCATACCAGGTCAGACCAAAGGTCCATCTAGCCCAGTATCCTGTGGCCAACGGCAGATGCCTCAGAGGGAACGAACAGAACGGGCAATTATCAAATGATACCTCCACTGTCACCCATTCGCAGCCTCTGACAAAGGCTAGGGACACCTTTCCTACCCATCCTGGCTAATAGCCATTGATGGGCCAACCATAAATTTATCTAGTTCTTTTGGAACCCTATTAAAACTCCTGGTCTTTGCAACATCCTCTGGCAAGGAGTTCCACAGGTTGACTGTGTTGCATGAAGACAAACTTCTTTTTTTTTGTGCTTAAAACCTGCTATCTATTGTCATTTGGTGGCCCCTAGTTCTTATGGGAACAAGTAAATAACTTTTCCTTATTCACTTTCTCCACACCAATACTGATTTTATAGACCTCTGTCATATTGCCCCTCAGTCTCCTCTTTTCTAAGATGAAAAGTCCCAGTCTTTTTAATCTCTCCTCATATGGGACCCATTCCAAACCCCTCATCATTTTTATTGCCCTTTTCTAAACTTCCTCCAATACTAAAATATCTTTATTTTGAGATGAAGCAACAACATCTGTATACAATATTCAAGATGCAGGCATAGCCCAGCAACCTTCTGCCGCCCTACCCAGCTTTATGTAGCCCAGAGGAGTCACATGGCCCAACTTGACTTTCCCCACCTGGATTGGGGCGTAAGCCATGTTCCAGGTGGCTCTGAGACTCATTTCCCCTTAAAGGGCTAGCCACCTGGCCTGGGACAGGGACCCCTTCTGGAACTCCGTGGTTCCTGGGGCAGTCCTTATTGGCAATACCAAGGTCAGGGGAGGCTGCAAAGGAGGAGCAGGCACTTCCAAGCAGGGCCGCATTATGACTTTCGTGGGCCCTAGGCACTTTTGCCTTTGGGGGCCCCTCCCACCATAACAATATCAATATTAAAATTATTTTTGATATCACTTTAAATACTTCAACATTTTATTTTTTTTCTGTTTTAGGCAAAATTTAATAGATTTTCGTGGGCCCTAAAAGTTTCATTTTTTTCTGCTGTGAGAAAAAATTTAAAACATTTTCTTCGACCCTAAAAGTTCATTTTTTTCCTTCTGATTTTAAAAGAAATTAAAACATTTTCGTGGGCCCCTAAAAGTATCATAGGCCCTAGGCACTGTGCTTAATGGATAAGTCGGCCCTGCTCCCAAGGTGATGGATAACACTGATATTAATCTTCCCAAACGGTGCTTCTCATCCTCTACACTGGTTATCAAAAAGCAAAAAAGAAATCACCCAGCCCCTTTTATTGCATGGCAGTTCTCTGGCTCCCAGTCAGCACCTAGGTCCTGTACAGTGAGACGTGATTTTAAAACTCTGCTCACTTGTACAAAGGGCCAGCCACTTTACCAGGCCCCTGTAGCCTTGGGCCCAAAATACCATGTTGCCAGCCAATCCTTTAGTGTCTAAAAGGAAAGGCGTATTATGAAGAGAGAACAAGAAGAGAGCTTGTTAAATGGCAAAGCAGTCACATTCGTGCAAAAACTTCAAAGGCCATCAGGTTCTTAGCAGTATTGGTGAATCTGCTGGCTTGAAAGTCCTCCCTGGAACACTGGATGGGTCATTTGGTCTATTGTTCAGAGCTTCATTTATAGAATGCCAGGTGGCTTCCACTTCCTTTGTCCCTAACACAACCAACCAACCAACCACAAACAAACCCAAACCAAACCCCAACATCTCCCTGACGTGGCCCCTGACTGAGAAGCAGAACGACACTCCCCACATTCCTCTCGCACACCTGTGCCTGGGGGGCCTGAGCTAGCAGATTTTGTGCCCCCCATGCTCTTGGGGAGGGGCCAAAAATGAGGGGTTCAGTGTGTGGGAGGGAGCTGCTCAGAATCAGGCTTGGGTGTGGGGTCTGGGCGGGAGGGAGGGTGCAGGAATGAGCTGAGGTGGGGGGAGTTAACCAGTTAACCATTCACATCCCTAGTCTCGCTGGGAGAGAGGGTGCAGGAACGGGGTGGGAGGGTCTGGAAGGAAGGGAGAAGGAATGGGACACCTACTCTCAACCTGTGGAACTCCTTGCCAGAGGAGGCTGTGAAGGCTAGAACTATAACAGAGTTTAAAGAGAAGCTAGATCATTTCATGGAGGTTAGGTCCATAAAAGGCTATTAGCCAGGGGTAGGAATGATGTCCCTGGCCTCTGTTTGTCAGAGGCTGGAGAAGGATGGCAGGAGACAAATCACTTGATCATTGTCTTCAGTCCACCACCTCTGGGGCACTTGGTGCTGGCCACTGTGGGCAGACAGGATACTGAGCTAGATGGACCTTTGGTCTGACCCAGTACGGCCATTTTTAGGTTCTTACCTGGCACAGCTGGGGGGGAGGGTGCAGGTGTCTTTGCGCTCCCTGCCACTATCAATTCCCAGCCCATAGGAGCAACAGGGGCAGTGTCTGCCCAGAGCACTTCCTCCCCTGGGCCGGGCAGAACCCATGAGCCAGATCCGGCCCTGGCTTGCTTTGCAAAGCTCGCTGCTCTCCCCCACCCCTGCAGCGGGAAGCCGGCACTGGGGGAGAGTGAGCCCTGAGCGGGCCGAAAGTTCCCCTACCCCGCCTTAGAGTTCTGCCCCTCGGCATGCCCCTCCATGCCTTGCTGAGTCATAAGGCGCAGCCCTGGCCTTCTCTCAGGGGCTGTGTCTAGACTGGCCAGTTTTTCCGGAAAATCAGCCGCTTTTCCGGAAAAACTTGCCAGCTGTCTACACTGGCCGCTTGAATTTCCGCAAAAGCACTGACGATCTCATGTAAGATTGTCAGTGTTCTTGCGGAAATACTATGTTGCTCCCATTCGGGCAAAAGCCCTTTTGCGCAAAAGGGCCAGTGTAGACAGCTCAGATTTGTTTTCCGCAAAAAAGCCCCGATCACGAAAATGGTGATCGGGACTTTTTTGCGGAAAAGCGCATCTAGATTGGCACGGACGTTTTTCCGCAAAAAGTGCTTTTGCGGAAAAGCATCCGTGCCAATCTAGACGCTCTGTTCCGAAAATGCTTTTAATGGAAAACTTTTCTGTTAAAAGCATTTCCGGAAAATCATGCCAGTCTAGACGTAGCCAGGGGGTCATTGAGTAGCTGACGGGCCACCAAGCAGACTAGGCCATGTATCACCGGACTGTGGGCGCCCTCCGGCCACACAGCACCCGTTTGTAATACAGACAGATGGGCACAGCCGTAGCCCAAACCACACCCAGATACATGAGCTCAGCATCTTTGCCCGGGGATGCTATTTTTTGCAGAGCTCTGACATGGCCCGTCGGGCACAGCTTCTATAAAACCGACACTCCCAAGGTCCTAACGTCTCCCCCACCTTCCCTCCAGTGTCACACCTTCCAAAGAGTCCCTCTTCATTTCCTTCCTCGCGGGTCCGCCCCCTCTCTTGGGGGCTGGGCACTGCTTAAAAACAGTGGCCATTGGCTGCTGGTAGGACCCATTCCCCCTCTCCCAGGGCCCCACACCAGTCCCCCAGTCCTGGGTAAGGGTTGGCAGAGTTCCCTGGGGTGGGATGTCGGGGGTTCAGCCCATCCCCTCCTGCTGGGCATCTCTGCCCTACTTCAGGGAGCAGGAGAGGGGATCAGCTCCCCGGGGCACCATGGCAGGCAGTGGGGGTGGCAGATAATGACACCAACTTCAAGGAGTGGGGGAGGAACCGTGCCCCCTGGTGGGGGGAGGGTGGTGAGTTCACGGGGGGAGACGCCCCAAGAGGTGTGATGGGGGAAAGGCTGTCCCTCAGATCTGGGCCCCACATTGACCCCCTCTACGTTACATTTCAGATGCAGTCGACTTACTATCTGCAAGGCCTGCACCTCTTCATCCCCAACATCTTCCAGCACAACAGCACAGGCAGCAGCTACGCGGTGAGGGCCCAGCTCCGCTCCACCTTGCTGGCTGTCAGCATTGCTCAGGGGAGGAGGGGTCAGGGGCTTTGGGGAAGGAGGGGAGTGGGGGTGGGGCCGGTGGGGGCAGGATGTGTACTGGGCCCCGCACCCTCCTAGGGACAGCCCTGGCTGGGGAGTTTCCAGGACTGGAGGTTTTGAAGAACAAGCTAGACAAACATCTGTCAGGGACGGTCTAGGTCGGTGGTCTGGGTCTAGGACTGGGATCTAGGAGCTGCCCCCCGGGAGCTGCTTGTGCAGAGTGTGCATGTGGAGACAGACTGGGGAGGGGGATGCTGAGACGTCCCCTTCCCCCTGCCCTGCGCTCTATCTCCACAGAGTGAGCAGAGCAGGGCCTCGGAGAAGGGGACAAGGGGAGGGGACGGGGGTGGAGCAAGGAGGATTGCCAGCAGCTCTAGGGAAGTGATTATTCCCCTTTATCTGGCTCTGGTGAGGCCATATCTGGAGTATTGTGACCAATTCTGAGGCCCCCACTATAGAAGGGATGTGGACGCATTGGAGAGGGTCCAGCAGAGGGCAACCAAAATGATTAGGGGGCTGGAGCACATGACTTATGAGGGGAGACTTGAGGGATTTGGGTTTCTTTAGTCTGCAGAAGAGAAGAGCGAGGGGGGATTTGATAGCAGCCTTCAACTTCCTGAAGGGGGTTCCAAAGAGGATGGAGAGAGGCTGGTCACAGTGGTGATGGATGACAGAACAAGGCGCACTGGTCTCCAGTTGCAGTGGGGGAGGTCTAGGTGGGATATTAGGAAAAAACTGTTTTACTAGCAGGATGTTGTAGCACAGGGATGGGTTCCCTAGGGAGGGGGTGGACTCTCCACCCCTAGAGGATTGTAAGCCCCATCTTGACAAAGCCCTGGCTGGGATGGCAGGAGAGGATTTCCTGAGGTCTCTTCCAGCCCTGCGATTCTAAGGATAGTTGGGTTTGAGGTAGATCCTGCATTGACTTACATTCAAAACATGATCTTGTGCTTTGGAAGGTTGGAGACCATGGGCCTAGGTAGGACTCCGCTCTGTCTCAGTGCAGGGGGCCAGGCGGGGAGACCTACTGGGTCTGTGATTGTCAGACCCTCCCCCCACCACAGAGTGCTGCCAGCACGGACCTACAAGCCCCCCCGCCTTTGTTCCAGATGCCGCCCACTCATATAGGGGGATGTCCCCAGCCTGGGCAGGGAGGCAAGGTCCGGATACCAGCTTCCCCTAGCAGCACAATCCCTGCTTTGTGACCCGCCCAGCCTGAGCTGCATGTGATGCTGCTTGTGGTCACCAGCCTGGCTGGAGACAGAACAGAAACTGTCCCAGCTGCTTCCGCTTCTCCTCAGGCCTCGGGCAGCAGAAGGGAGCAGGGGGGCTGGAGCAATGTGTATAGTGGGGGCGCTAAGAGTCACTGAACCCTGCTGTAAACCCTGTGTCTGGTGGGAAGAGCCAGAGGGTGTGGCGTTCCTAGCACCAGCCTACAGGGAGGGGGGAGGAGGAAGCAGGGGTCAGTCAGGGCTGGGAGAGGGAGGAGGTTCACAGTTAGGGCTTTCAGATGCTGTAGAGTCATTTCTCAAGGGGGATGCCTAGTTCTGTTAGCCCAGGGCTGGTTCTGACCCAGTTCAATCTCCTCAGATCCCCGGTACCTGGTTCTGTTATCCCAGGACTGGTTCTGATCCAGTTCTCTCTCCTTAAATCTCAGATGCCCAGTTCTGTTAGCCCAAGGACTGGTTCTGACCCAGTTCTCTCTCCTCAGATCGCCAGTGCCTGGTTCTTTTAGCTCAGGAAATGGTTCTGACCCAGTTCAATCTCCTCAGATCCCCAGTACCTGGTTCTGTTAGCCCAGGACTGGTTCTGATCCAGTTCTCTCTCCTCAGTTCCCTGATGCCTGGCTCTTGTTAGCCAATGTGGTGGTCCTGCTGGTTCTGGTCCCGCTGAAGGATCGAGTGATTGACCCGTTCCTGGTGAGGCGGAAGCTGCTGCCCTCGGCACTGAAGAGGATGGCTCTGGGCATGTTCTTCGGTCTCACCTCTATCATTGTGGCAGGTAACACCTGGTGCATGGCTGGAGCGGACTGGCAGTGTGGGGGATCCCGGGGGGGG